AAGAAGAAGAAGAAGAAGAAGAAGAAGAAGAAGAAGAAGAAGAAGAAGAAGAAGAAGAAGAAGAAGAAGAAGAAGAAGAAGAAGAAAAAGAGGAGAGAATACTATGACAAAAATCAATGTCCCCCTCTCCTACTTCATGATTTTTAAATGCCAGGCCAGCTCTATTCCTATCCAACCCTGCTTTCTTTTCAAGCTTTATCAACTAGATTTTAAAATAGTGACATTTCTCTAACATCTTCCAAAGTGGACTAATGGTTTACTTTGGGTTCTTTTTATATGCTATCAGGAGTTCCCAGATTTAGACCCATTTGTTATATTTCAGTCTGTATTACTCATCGTTCCCATTTCAGAGGCGCAGTACTCAACACACACAACTTAAACATGAAGAGGTTTATTTTGATGCACAGGTTTGGGGAGTTCAGTCCATGGTAGGCTGATTTATACCAGGCAAATCATGGCAGAAGAACACAGCAGAGCACAAATGTATGTCCGCTGCGAAGCAGAGCAGGGACAATGCCAGCGAGGAAGGGACCAGGGATCATACATAGTACCCAAGGTAACACCTCCACAACTCACCCAGATATGTCCTGGGCTGTGCTTTTCTAATCCCATAGGCAGCTCCCAAGCCAAGCAAGTTGACATAGTAAAGCTCGACCCCTGTAATGGTCGATACCTAGTGTCAACTTGAGAAACTTAGAAGTTTAAGTAACTCATCCGTTCTACATCCTGGGATACAGAGGACTTGCCCTTACTGCATTAGGATGTTGTTCATTGTCAACTTGAGAAGTTTAGAAGTTTAAGTCATTCAGCAAGGGGCCAGGGTCCTCAGTTTGCAAACGTCCTGAGCCTGTGCAAGAGGAGGGCGCAGAGGTGGTGTGAGTGCTACACCCACCTGGGGACTAATAGCTCACATACAATATAAGGGGGGAAAAGAGGCTTGCTTCTCCCCACCTTTTGCTCTTGTTGCTTTTGCTGTCTTCTGCTACTTTGGAGTGTTGCCCCTCACCATGCCTCTTTGCCTTGGTGCCAGCTGGTTATGGACTGAAGCCTACACTAACCCTTGAGCTAAATAAATCTTCCCTTCCTTATGTTTGTGGGATATTTTGTTCCAGCAGGTAGAGAAAAGTAACCAAGACACCAACACACTGTTACAGCTGTTCTTATTGATGACCCACTTGACACCAGGGAAACTGGTTGGCTTCTCAGACCCTTGCTGTGAGTCTAGTAGTCTTTGACCCTTTACTTGCTTTTTGGGTATGATGAGATATATCAGGCTCAATTTGAATAGCTGCTGCATTGAATTTGGAAAAAACCATTTCTCCAAGGAAGCCTGACTAGGGTTCGTAATCTGATTGGTAGGGGCACTCATTCATACCGTAATGGCCGTAGTTTCTATATTTCTAAACCTTGCAGTGACCAGTTAAGAAATATGTATGCATGTACACACATGCACACACATGCACACACACATATGCATATGATTCAGATAAAACGTATGGAGTCCACACTGTTGGTTTCAATTAGGACTACACTGTCACAATCAGGACTATGGAATTTTAACTGAGTGTGGTGGTGCACACTTGTAATCCCAGCACTTAGAAGGTTGAGGCAAGAGGATCACCTCAATTTTGAGGCCAGCCTGGGCAACATTGTGGGTTCAAGACCATCCTGAACTGCTGTTATGGTCTGTGCCTTGATGTCTCCCCAAAGCCTAATGCAGTCATAGCAGTTTTTCAGAAGTGGCTGAATTTATGGGGTGTGTTTGATTTCTAGTGCAGTTCTGGGACTAAGGGTGCTGAAATTAAGGGTGGGTAATGGCTGGATCAATCCACTGATTGGATTGGCATTGCCCAAATCCCAGGAGACTGAATGCAGTATAAGGGACAAAAGGAGGCCTGTCTTGCTGTCTCCTGTTGCACTTGCTGTCTTCTAGTACTGTGAACATTTGCCCCTCTGCCATGGGCCACCCTGGCTTGGAGCCAGCCCATTATGGACGAAACCTCCACAAACTGTGAGCTGACTAAGCCTTTCCCCCTTGACGTTGATGTTGGGTGTCTTGTCACAGCAATAAAAGCAGTGACCAAGACAACTGCATAGTGAGACCCTGTCTTAAAAAAACGTACTACAGAATTTTACCCAATCCCATCAACCCAACATGAGCGACTTCACCAGAAAGTCCTATTTCTCACAACGTGAATGTTATGACTTGATTTATCCCATAATGAACATGCAAAAGTCTTAGAATAATAATAACAATAATACCATAGTGCCATTCATAATGTAATTATTGAGACCCTTTAAGGATTTATTGAGAGGGAGTATGGCAGTTCTTTTTATTCTTGTGGGTATGTCATTAAATAAATTGCCATGTTTTAATTTCTCTATGTATGTTACATCAACCACTTCCATCGGAGGTTCATGTGTTTAATTTTATTTGTATTTTTAGAAACGTCTTCTAATAATGCTTTTAGTTGTGTCTTATAAAGTTTTATATATAACTAAGGCCACAGAACAAAGTATACAGTAAGTCTCTGACTTACATTTCGGTTGCGAACTTTCACAGATATGAATGGGCCTCGCATTTGGTATGTTAAGCTTTACATTGTATGTATGTTTGTGTCAAAGGTGTGTAAGACCCATTTTGTCAGACTTAATGAAATGAACAAGTCCTACTCACATACGTTCTCTCAGAAGAGAAGTTGTTGTTAAGGTGGAAACTAACTGTATTCAGAGTCAGCCTTGATGCACAAGCTCCGTCCTGCCACCTCATTTCCCTTCCATGGACCTTTTAAAATGTAGTTTATGCTCTATCCTTTTACTGTCTTTTTCAAAATCTAATATATATACATACTTTTGCATTCCTTCCTCCTTTCACAAATGAATAGTAACGTGTTAAACATACTTTTTTCTGTCATATTGTTCAAGGTTTCAGGGTAATAACCTGGCCTCACAATATAGGCGTGAAGGACGTATTTCAAATAGATTCCTAGATCTAAGATTACTGAATCAAGGAGCACATGTGTACTTGCTCTGGTGTCTGGTATTGTGGTGGACTTTATCATTTCCTAGAGATACACTTCAATGCAAAGCATGTAATTAAATGAGTCCTACTTTCCGTACTGAAAAAAGTTAAAAATGCTTGCCCAAAGAACTGGAGCCAGAAATCAAGTCCCGCACATGCTAACTAGTGGCCCGGTGGTCCAACTGATCTGTTCTGCTGTACCTTCTCCCCATCTTACAGATCAGTAAAGTGAGACTGTCATAGGTAAGAGCCCCATTCTCAATGACATCATCAATGAGAACTGAGAATTGTCAAGTTAGACCTCTCAATGTGTTATGAACTGATTTATGATAAACTCAGTTGGCTTATCTATAGACAGGGAATAGAAACATAGTTCTCCTAAGGAAGGTAAGAAATTAATGAAATAATTACGGATAAAGTCTCCTTTGGGAGTAGGAGAGAGATTCTTTGGGCTATAGCTGAACTCCTTCAGGTGAAAAGAATCAGACTCTAGTGTTAGTCACTAAAAAAATGGCTGAAAGGAGGACAGGGACAGTCACCCCTCCCCAAAGACCCACGTGGTTAAGCACCTTGCAGACTCTCACAGGGTTTTGAGCTTCAAAGAGGCCTTACGCTTCACAAAGCTTTGCAAAGATGTCGTATCCCCAGCGAATGAGTGCACTGCATATCGCGAGGCCTTCTCTCCTTCCCTAGAGTAACCGAGGGACTCTCCTTTGTGCTTGCTTTGAGACAGGTTGATTGACGCATGTGCAGTTTGGGGCCCTGGAGCTCTCCTGCCCTCAGCACACTGCCACAGAGCCACCTCTGGTGCTGCAAGGAAGAGGCTGAATGAGGCGGAGGAGGTGAGTGGATTTTTTTTTTAAATTTGGCCTCTTGCCCCAGGCATCTTCCCAGGGATGGTCTCTTCCTTCTCCCAGGAATAGAAGCCCAGAGTCACCACAGAGCCACATCCCAAGGGCCTCCCTGCCTGGAGGCTGGTACATAGGGTGGGGAGCATTGACTTCCTCTTCCCTGCAAGTGGAGTCGCCAGTGTCAGCCTCGCTATTGTCCTCCCATCCATTGAACTGGAAAATTGGGAACCAGCTTTGCTTGTGGCCTGAATTCCCCCTTAGCCAGGGCCCCCACAACCTGGGAGGCTTCTGAGTGACAGCTCTGGTGTATGCAGAGCAGCTGAGAACTCCTCTTCTGGGCAGGGCCAGGGGCCCTGGCAGAGGGACAGCTGTCCAGGTGTAGGAAGCAGGGAGGCCCCAGCACTGAAGCCACACCCTGTGCTCCAGATCGGCCTTGTTCTGTTCTGGCTAGAATCTCCCAATGCTCTGGCCTCCCGTGCTTCCTCAGCCAGGGTGACAGAACTGCGATTTTATCAGAGAAATAGTTGGCCGCCGAGAGGCTGCAGGGCGGGGCAGTCTAACCCCAGAACTTTGGCTCCTTTTTTTCTGAGTTTGACCATCTCTGCTGTAGTGCAGCATCTTTCTGGCCTTAGGTTCCTCCCCTAGTGTCTGGTGTTCCCCCAGGTTGGGTTGGAGAGTAGACAGGGAGCAGGTGGGAAAGAGGAGGCAAAGCACACTGATGACGTGGGTTTGGGATCAGAACAGACCTGATGCGAGTCCTTCCCCATTTGCTATGTGATCTCTGGAAAGGTTTTTTTTTTAATCTACTCTGAGTCTTGGTTTCTCACTTTATAAAATGCGGGTAACAATGAACATCCTACTCTAGTGATGAAGAGCAGACAGATGCACAGCACCTGCTATATAGTAGGTGCTCAGTAGATGGAAGGTCATTCCTTGTACAATGCAGTACAGATAGACCTGTATGAAAGTAGTCCGTGAGGGGCCCTCTGAGGGCTCCGGCTGGCCACGGTGCAGCATCAGGTTCTGGGGGCCCCCTGGGAGCTGCCTCGGACTGTGGGGCTTTTTCATCCTCACTATTCTAAACACAACCCTCAAGCATGGGATAGTGGGGTGCAGGTGCCGCAACGTGGTTTTTTCCTTCACTGTATCTGAAGGACTCTAATCACGAAACTATTATTCCTGTTTAGTTAAATAGACACGTAATATGTGCCTGCGAACACATGCCAGGTTTGCAGCAGAACCAGGGAGCTACTCCCCCTCAGGGTCACTATGCCTCCTTCTACTTTTCATGCACCCTCCCCACACTGCTTTTACCCCTCAAAACCTCCTCCAGGCTTCCTGGGGTGCACACACCCTGGGTTGCCTATCTAGACCCCTGGGAGCTTGTTCCGTATCTGACGACAGTGACCTCCTTGTGCAGCAGCAGATCTGGAAGTCCTCCAGGGAGCCAGCTGCTGCAGCCTGCCTGACCAGAGTGCCCTGCCCAGCTTGCACCTCCGCGCACTTCCAGGCTCCCCAGCAATCCCAGTGGGCTAGGAGCTTCATCGTTTTTATAATGTGTCTTTACATCAGTTTGGTCATTTGCCATGTGATATGAGCATAACCTGCCTCGTCATTTCCATTCATTGTTGAATAAACTGAGGTTCCAAGAAGTCATTTCCAGGCCTTCATGGTGGTGCACACAAGGAATCCCAAGTACCTGGGAGGCTGAGGCAGGAGGATCATAAGCTCAAGCCCAGTTTGGGCAACTTAGTGACCTAGTGAGCCTCTGTCTCAAGTTAGAAAATGAAAAGGGCCAGGATATCACTCCATGGTAGGACACTTGCTTAGCATGCATGAGGCCTGGGTTTGTACTAGAGGAAAACAGAGACAGAGAGAGAATCAGAGAGGAAGAGGCAAACGTACAGGGGTTGGGGAGAGAGAATGACTATGATAGATGGTGATAGAGTGGTGATGCCCTACACCAAGGGCCGTTTTCCTGCCGTGCCCTCACACATTGCCCCCCAACCCGGGGCAGCCATACTTGGCAGAGGGAGAACCTGGTGGAGACTTTCAGACACACAGAAGAACTTAAGAAAGGACAAAGAGAGCACATGCATGCAGGGACATGCTGCTCTTGTGGGAACAATAATAATTCCTGAGAGAGGGGACTGAACTGGGTTGCTTTAGCTGCTGACAGTAGCCATGAAGATAACCAGCATTTGAGCGCACCTGTGCTGGTGCTCACTTGCAGCTCCCCATATTTCTCCACAACAGCCCTATGAGGGGGTCCGGTGTCATTCCCACTTCACTAGTGACAGAATAGATGTCCAGGAAGGTTAATGTGCTTGCCTGGAGTCCCCCCACCCGCCTCTTTTAAGAAAGCGCCGCCACCTGGATTTGAATCCCAGCAGTTCAGCCTGGAACCTGCACAGATGGCCCTTGGGTTGGGGCTGTATTTCAGCGGTGCTGGAGTGGAGCTTTTGTTCCAAGTATCATCAACATGCTGCAGAACGTTTCTGAGTGAGTGACTGCCAGGTTCCAGCTGGGAATCTGACCTTGTAGTTCCAGCTGGGAAGCCTCCAGAGGAGCGCTTTCTCTCTCCTGCTCTTCTCCCATTGTTTCTAGGCCACTGTCACCTGCAGCAGCCCCAGGTATCTGCTTCCAAACCTCCTCCCTCACACGTTGTCAGCTCAGACCCCTGGAAGCAGACACCTGCCCTCTGACGCGCACGCATGGCAGGGAGACTGCCCAGCTCTCCCAGGCCTTCAATTTCACAAATGGGTCCATTTGGTTAATTGCTCTCCCACTGCTAAGCCCCCTGCCTGTCCGCGAGAAGCTGGGCCACTTCTTTCCAGAACCATCAGCACAGCCACCAGGGGTGCCACAGAGCGCAGGCTCAGGACACACAGCTGTGCATTGATGGGGGCCGGCCAGATGGCTCTTTGGGGGCTGCCTGTCTTGCTTTCCCACCAAACAGATTGCAGGCTACCGAGGTCTCGCCTACCCTTACACCTTTTCCCATGGGTGCTGAGACCATCAGGGACAGATGTGAGGCCGTGGGTGGCTACAGAGCAAGCTCTCCCTCAGGAGTTTGTGTCTGCTTCATTTCTGCTGAAGGGTTGCCATTGCTTCTCGTCTCCCAGCCTTTTCTGCTGACCCCACACCCACCTTTCTCTCAAAGGCTGGGCTGCTATGCTGGACACAGCGTGCCACCCTCTGGTTTCCTGTGTCTAGTAAGAGAACCAAAGATGATAGCAAGAGAAGTGTGGAGACTTCCTGAACTACCCCACAGCCAACACTGTGCTTGGCATCAACACACAGAGCTACCAACACTTTGCAACCAGGCTTCAGGACCAATGGCGCCTCTTGAAACTCACGGAAAACCTGCGCCCTCTGTCCCCCAACACGTTGCCACTGCTCCCCCTCCACCTCCTGTGTTTCCTCCTCAGCCCACCCCACCCCCCAGCCTGTGGAAGCCCAGGATAGCAGTTGGATGCAGACTGCTGTCTGTACGGGATGTAAACGCAGAAGGCAGAGAAGGGAGGGGATAAACAGATGCCATGCCCTCCTGCTGGCTCGTCCTTTCCTCCCCGCCCTGCTTTTCACTGCTAACAGGAATTTTAAAAATGCATTTGGGATATGCTGTCCTCAGAGTATCAGCAGCTAAACTGATACTGACAGACTGGAAGTTGTAAGGGACAGTGCGAGGCAGAGACCAGCCAAGACCACGAAGCTTGTGTAAGGGCAGTGTGATATGGAATTTAGTGTGCCTGGGTACAGGCAGACAGAGAGAGAAAAGACCATCTGTGGGGAGTAAAGAAAAGCCTTTTTCACAAGGCTTGAAAGAAGGCAGGGGACATGAGGCGGAAGGTCTTGTCTGTGGGTGAAGTCCTTGAGGCATCTCGTGTGCATGTTTGGGCTCCTCAGATGGCCGGGTGTTTGGAAGATTCCATGCTCCATCTTATCTCTTTTACAGCATCCTGTGTTTGCTGAGGGCACCAGTAGGGCTGGGAACAAAGCCTGTGCTCGCAGACAGCTTGCGTATTGGGACAGTCATGTCCAAATCAAGCCGCATAGAAGGCCCTGCAGAAGAGCTGACCCAGCTCCCTCTTGAGAGTGAGGTCCCAGGTCCTGCAGGGAGGAGCTGGTGTGGTAAGGGCTGTGCAGTGCTTTGAAAAAAGATCACGGCAGAGCAAGAGAGAGCAGTCCACGCAGGTGCTCTGGCTGGACTGGGATCCTGCAGGAGCCTCGTTTTCTCCCTGGCCAGAGCAGACACTGCCTGTGAATATCCTCTGCAGTTACTGCAAGAGGGGACAGTAGTTCTGGGCCAGTGTAGACCGCTGTGTGGTTGTCTGCACCACCACTGCCTCTTAAGCCCAGCCCGTGCCCTCAGAAGCTCATAATATGAAGGTCACCTCCCTTTTCTCCATCCCAGCTGTCCCAGTAGTCTTACATCTCTCTCTTCCTCTCCCTCCCTGTTCTCCTGCTTCCCTTCCCCTCCCCCTCTTTCACCATTAGAACTCAAACTATAGGGTTTTTTTTTTTTTTTGGGGGGGGTGGTGGTGGTGGTTGAGATAGTATCTCATTCTATAGTCCAGGCTGGCCTTGAACTGGCAGCAGTCTTCTTGCCTCAGCCTCCCAAGTGCTGGGATTATAGGCATGTGCCAGCACACCTGGCTTGGCTAACCGTACAGTTAAACTTGGGCATGAAATCCCCTAGTCAAGGTAGAAATAAGTGTCCCAGGAGGAGTGTGGCGAGTCCATGTTCCCAGATGGGTGTCCTCAGTTGGGGGTGGTCTGGACTCCTAATGAACACCCACCAGAGCGCTGGGGACCCACCAGACACAGTGATGGTGTGCAGAAGTTGAGATTTGCGATAAAGATGGCTGGTGGGGTGTGCAAAGCTGTCTTCCTTTTGGAAAACTGGAGAGAGGAAGGAAGAGGAGAAGGGAGAGGGAGAGGTTTCATTAGAAGATGGTTCTAGGGTTACCTGCCCATTGTGGGGTGTT